CAAATTCGAACTACCTCGTTCTCTCATGCAGTGTTTGACAAAACATACTATCTAAAATGACTTAGCCTCCTTTGGCTTATCTATCATTACTCCTTGTGAAATCTAAACAGTGTTTTCAATATGCCTTTCACCTCTTTCCTGAGACCTATAGCACCCCTACTCCCTCTCTCTAAAATCGTGAATAATTTCAACTGCGCATCTTCTTGAACTTTTTCACCAGTAATGTTCAAAATATGTCATTTTATAAAGCACACTACAGTCTTCACGCATTTACCTTTGAGTTTTTCCCTTTCAAAAATATAACCTGAAAAAGTTGACAGGTATATGTAAATAACGGTATACTGCAGCAGAAGATGAAGAAAGACGCCTCACCAATTCTTCTTCTTTCAAATCTTCTCTCTCCTCTTCTTTTGGCTCTTCTTGTGCAATTATCCTTTTCTGTCCTTTCTGCTTCAACTCTCGGATTCTAGCTCGTACAACAGCCCCACGACATGCAGCCTTAAAACACATGTTTATTGAATGTTTTTCCCAAAAGTAAAATCCTAAGCGACCCTTCTTTTCCTTACCTGAAAATGTATGATGCTATGTCGAAGGGTTTGGTAGTGTAGCACAAGTTGTCGCGAGCGAAGAACCGCCTGCAGGCGACAAAAGCCAGCTACAATCTGAAAAAATTACTGTGTAACCGTAGTGCAACATGGATTAACTGGGTTGAGTACGCAAACCTGATTATAGCGTTTCTGCTGATCATATCGCCTCCAGTGTTTCTGGATCACTGTAGCTGCTTCCTTCTTCTTTATGAAAGATCGCCGTGCCAGCCAACCGCGAACATTCTTCTGGATGATAGTAGCGCGATAGGCCAGCATTCGATGGTACTCCTAAATGAATAATTTCTCCTTTGAAAATCAACTTATAACGCTTTGAAATTTTTAGAAATAAATTACGGACAGATCTCGACTTTTGAGTGTATAACTGTTGCAAAAAATCTTTGAGTAGAATAATTTTATGGACAAGCGCACCAAAGCCATGTTTCGGAATTTTGAATGAAAAGCAAATTCAGAGAGATAGAATGAAAAGCAGCATGTATTCCTTTCATCAATTCAATGAAGAGATTGTGCCGACAACGATTCGAGCCACGTTTCACTAAGACCCTATCCCTTTTAATCCCCGTCCCCCATAAAAGGTACTGCTCACTGAAATATGATGCAAACTTGCTAATAAAATAAAGTGTTAACGAGAAGCCTCTAGCCGTCTCCGCGACTGATAGAGCTTGAACACTTGAAGCACCTATGCATTTCCTTATAACGTGGTTGACCAGATTGTTAT